AACCAGTGGTTGTCCTTTGACGAAAGTTTCAGGAATATTGTCCCTACCATCTTAGAGAAACAGCCTGGATAACAAAAACAGGCGTACAATCGCAATATGTCATGGTCATTGAGCAGTGAGGGTTAGTTATCGTATTGCAGCTCTCCATCGGCTAGTGTTGGCGTCTCTCAGTGAAAAAGTCTCGAGAGATACGTTAAACAATTTATAATCAATTAGTCAAATGGCGATCGCATGTCGCAGAAACAGTTGTTTAATCTCTCTCGAGATTTTTTCACTCAGAGAGACGCCAACACTAGCCGATGGAGAGCTGCAATACGATAACTAACCCTCACTGCTCAATGACCCTGAGTGCTGAGTAAAGGACAGGATTTGAAGCCCGTCACCGGTATATGGTGACGACTCAATGTGAGTAAAAAATGATCGAATTCAACGTACAGACAACATATAGTTATTCAGACTAAGAGTTAGTAGAACTTTGCATAATGGATTTAAAGACACGTTTTCGTAAAATTGGTATTTAGAGATCTAATTTAACTCTAGAAAATGAAGGGAAACGTCTAAATATTAACGAAATTAAAATGGTTTTATTTTGTTATGATGTACCTGTCATTTTGATTAAAATATGTTTAAAAAACATATACCGTGAATATTATGTGAAATTCAAATGGAGTTCAGTTAATTAAACAGGTATGCTAGTTTATTTTCATCGCTTATATTCTCTTTTGAAGACAGTCAGCTATAAGCGAATCCCGGTCGGCCTTTCCTCTGTCGTTCCTGACAAAAACACTGCAGCAAAACAACAATAAGCTGGATATTTCAAAACATAATATTTGTACAGATGGAAAGGTTGCCTTCTGACAAACTTGGAAAGTTCTGCTAGAATCCCGAGTTAAGCATGGTTTTACAAAAACTCTCGGTTCATATGCATAAAATTCAAAACATCGGGTAAGGTTTACTGCGCATGTGTCGAATAATTATTTTACTGACAGGACATTGGGAATCTAGCAGCACTTTTTATACAAAATAGTTGTTTTTCGACTATATTATTTACTCCAAGAATTTGTAAAACTCCGGAGTATTGTTTTCTTGAAGCTTTTTTATTAAGGTAAATGGAAGTCACTTGATGCAGTGTTGGTGGTGCACGTGTTTGCGTTAGACACTCTTTTATCTTTATGCAAAAGTTAATGATAGTTTACTTATATCAGTGTCTTCGGTAAATTATTAAACTTAATTTTCTGTAAAAAGTCCTAATTTCCCGAGAAATGATTTATATGCTTCCTTAACATACCCGCGCAGAACCAGAAAGGAGCCGATAACTTTTGACTATCAGAGGAGGCGCAATTTTATTTGATGTATCTGTTAATAAAAAAGTGAGCTTTTACGGTTCTAAAAAACCAGATATAACACAAAATTGTTTGAAAATATATCCAACGTAATGTGCAAAACAGTGATCATCAGAAATTTTAGTGCATGGGTCTCAAAAATAATTCAGGAAAAAGGTAAACCGCTGTAGCTTATCGTAGAAAGGTAATTGTTGTCATAGAAACTGAAATTGAAGTGTTGAATACTTCCGACATAAAATAATAATTTTGAATATATGTTGATTAAAATGATACATGAAATGTTGATGTAACCTGTGTTGTAATTTTTCTATTTTACGTTAAAAGTGTTACATATATTGGGAAAAGGTTTGTCCGGTTGAAATTGTGGACAAATTCTCTTGTGTGAAACATAATCTTCATTAAGGATATCCGATCCTCAGCCAGGAAGGATAACTCCAAACATTGATATTTAATTTGAAATGCATAGATGCTTTATGCCAAATTTGGTTGAAATTTGTTCAGTGGTTGCAGAGAAGAAGCTGAAAATGTTCAAATGTTAACGCACAACTCACGACGCACGACGACGGACGAAAACAGATAGCAATAGGTCCTCTGAGTTTACTCAGGTGACCTAAAAAAAAGGTATGGCTTATATCATGGAGAGTGTGTTATGGCCTTGAATCAAGGTCATTTAGGATGAGATATTTTGACTGGATGCATTGTTTGAAAAAAACCTGTGTGAATTTGTCAATACAATAGCGCATACAAATGGGGTATGCTCATCACCATCTTGTGTCATGGTGTGACCCAAGGTCATTTTGACAAGGTCAAGGTCGCAAACATTCCTTTACTATCACTTTTTTAATAGTAAAACATTATAAGATGATATCTACCCTTAAAAGATTGCTTTATCATTAGAACGTGGCATGACCTCGACTCAAGGTCATTTCTCTCTGTCCGTAGCTCCGACGGAAGACCTACTCATTGCTTTGCAACGAGCTCGGCTCTAGTTATTTTTCTCTTTTACTTCAGTTAAAATTTCCTAAATATGTAGGCCGATTTTGCACCTTCGTGGCTTTACTTCTTTGGTGATTTTAGCCCCTCTTCTCAGGTTCCAGAAGGAGGGGGAGAAACCATTAAATTCACATATTTTTCTTTCCCCTTCACCCATAGATGCTGTATACAAAATTTGGTTCAAATTGATTACGTAGTTTCAGAGAAGAAGCTAAAAATGTTAAAAGTAAACTACCGACTTACGACCTACGACTGACAACGTAATGCGTACGATAACGAACAAAAAACAGATAGAATAGGTCTCCTGAGTTTACAACAATAATCAACTATAGTTTGCAATTGTTAACTTTAAATGGACAATTTTACCTGATTTATGCCATTTTGTACTATACATGTAGTAAATCAAAGATTAAAAGATTTAACTATAGAAAATCATCGTTCCAAAGCTTTCACTACAGTCAATAAAAGCTATATACAACGTCCTTATTTTGATCTGATTGTGCAGGTGTTGGAATATAGTCGGTTCCATTACTTTCACAAAACAACTTAAGAAGGACACAGGACTATTAATACATATTATAAATTGTAAATTGTTTAACGCCGAGTCGGCAATTTTCAGCCATGTTTCGGCGGAACACAAAATGGAATGATTATACATAATGGAAAGATCGTCTTCCTTAAATAAAAATAACCTATTGCGTTGGAAATATATCATTTTAAAGGAAAACTACAATTAAATTTTGTTAGTTAAACAATAAACATAACGATATTGCAGTATTTTACATTGTAGATTTCAACACCTTGTGATCAATCTAATGAAAAAATGTGTATAAATGAAAATGTAAGATTTTCAAATATGTACTAGAATGCATCACAAAATGTTCTTAACTTCTACAATTAGATGACATACCATCATAATCCAGTATACATAATATGGGAGTAAGTTTTTTTGGCATTATGATATATTTTGAAATGTTATATTTTCTTGACTTTTCTAAGTTTGACCTCCATTTATGGTATTCAATATTTTAGTACTGTTAATGTACAGAATAACATTTTCCTGTGTATTCTTTTAGTGCTGTTATTAATTGGAAAAAAACGTCTGCTAACAGGTACATGCTATTTCTCTTGCATATACATGTACACGGGTTGTTCAAAAAGTTTACTGACAATGACGTTTTTGTTAAAATTATATATTTATCAAAATACTTCTTATTAAAAATCAAGTCAGAAAGATTAAATTTTTTTTATTGAACTTTATATTTTCGTAAAAAATTGGGTATTTAAAGGTCACGGATAGTGCGCACGGACCAGTCTGATGTTGAGCTAATTTCATTAAAACGTCGAACATTTGGATATTGAATTTTTGATACATGTTCATGGACACAAACTTCATTTTTATTATTACGTCACAATGAAAAGTGCTAACAATCATCTTTAAACATTGATTATATTTTTTTTTAATTTCTAAAATTCGAAACAATACACAATAATTTATGAGGGTCATCAATATAAACTATGCGTATACACAGGCTGCACAGTTCAGCCCGATGTTGCACAACGTCATGAACAGAAATATCCACTTTCACGAAATATCAAGTTTTCAAATCCATGTTGTGTCTTCAAATTTGTAAGCACCGTTGAAAAATTCGTATGTACCCATCTCAAATCAATAAATTTAACATATCCTAATATCATCGAGTTCTTCGAGCAAATATTTTGTCTCTGACATCGTTTTAACCTTATTAAAACATAATTTTTTGATCGGACGACCGACGTCGCTTTTTCTGTCGAGTTTTGACACATATTCGTTGAGGTTTTCGTTCAGATTTTTCCACTGTCTATGTATGTCGCCCGCGGAGCGCAGTGGTTAGAGCGTCTGCTCTAGAGTCTTGAAGTAAGGAGTCAATCCCTCCACCGGCAAGTGGATGTGTCTCCATATGAGTGAAAAATTCTCGAGAGGGACGTTAAACAATATATCAATCAATATAAAGAAACCCACTGTCTTTGTAGTAACTGATACTCAAGATATCAAAAAATGGTTATCTGGTTATAGCCTCTTTATTTGTGTTACATACATTTTTTTTATTAAGCTTTGATTTGATTTATATAAAAAAAAATTCTAGTTTTCATGCAAACATTTGATTTCAAATTTTATGGCATTTTAACCTTGGTCCGTTTGCACTATCCTCGAAATTTTTAGACCCCGGTTTTCATGGTTTTTACAAAAAATATAAAGTTACATCAATAAAATTTATATCTATCTTACTCTGTTTTTCATGAGAAATATTTTGATATACAAATGACACAGAAAGAACCATTTATTAGAACAAAAACATCATTGTCCAGGAACTTTTTGGACCACCCTTGTACATATATAATATTCTGAAATACGCTAAATCAAATCTACGCTAACTTGTTCAAAAGTCATTTCTGCGAAATATTGTACAGGCTTAATATAATCAAGTTGAATTATTGTCCTGTCCTTTAAAATAAAAAAAAACAAGTTAAATTCATGGTGATCATTGGCTCCATGGTTGGAATAAAAATATTAAATTGTCGGGAGTTTGGGGCTTGGATGAATTTCAGATCTAAGTACTAGATCCTAAGAATAAATTAATGGCTTTTTAAAAATGAATACAGACTGGTTTAATGATACACACATTCATGTAGTCATAGGTTCTATGAGTAATGCTCCTAATTTGAAGCATCTTTGCTTTTAAGCTTCAATACTGCTGTTTTTATTTCTTGCACATCAGACAGTATTGTCTTTACCATTTCATGCTGATCTTCCATTTTAATCTTTTCTATTACAGCATCTTCAGTTTCCTTTCTTAAGGTCAGTTTCTGAATTTCATTAAGGTTATCCAAGTATGTCTTTCCAGTGAAAGTTTCCAGTCTTTGGCAAATATCTACCATCATTGACCAGGTGTCATTGAATTCTGTCTGAGGGATGGAGGCTGAGCTCACATGTGCAGTCAAACTGTTACGGATTGACCTAATTCTCTCGATATCATCACCCACAGTCACATCTCCTGCTGCAGGCTCATCACCCCATTTTTGTTTTGTTGGTTTAGGAATCTTTTTGCAAATGTTTCTTATCAATGTGTATGTTAAAGAAATATCAAAATCCTTATATCCGGAATGTTTTGCATCTGTCAAGTGTTGCTTTTGTTCAGGGCGCAATCTTACATAAAAGTTTAATGATGCTTTTGCCTTGTTCTCAATAAGGGAAGGGGAAATCTCAATCTCTAGTATGTCTCGGCATGCCTGATTTAACACATCGTTTGTTGCCATTCCAAGTCTGGCAAATCTGGACCGGCCCCCAATGTCTTGTCCAGAAGCTGTCGAAGTGCTGGGATTACTCAGTGTTATCTGGAACAAGATTTCACCACATTTAGTTAAAAAAAAACCACGCATATTAGGAGGAAAATATAAAATAACTAAAAACAAGAGGCCCATGGGCCACATCGCTCACCTGAGAAGCTTTGACCATTCTGTTCTTTACCAGATTTCATCCTTGTTATACATAATGCATCCCCACCCTACCCCACTGATCATAATTTAGACATTTTGAAATCTACACTACCCCATGATTCTTCCATGGGCACATATGTTTCGGCTTTTTTTGGCCCAGTGGTTCCTGAGAAGAAGATTTTCAAAGATTTTTCCTATATATTTCTATGTAAAACTTTAATTCCCTATAATGGCCCCGCCCTTCCCCCGGGGGTCATGATTCCTACAATTTAGAATTTACACTACCCCAGAATGCTTCAACATAAGCTTCACTTTTTCTGGCCCAGTGGTTCTTGAGAAGAAAATTTTCAAAGAATTTTCCTATATATTTCTAAATAAAACTTTGATTCCCCATTGTGGCCCCGCCCTTCCCCCAGGTGTCATTATTTGAACAATTTAGAAATTACATTATACCAGGATGCTTCCACATAAGTTTCAGCTTTTCAGGCCCAGTGGTTCTTGAGAAGAAGATTTTCAAACATTTTTCCTATATATTTCTATGTAAAATTTTGATACCCCATTGTGGCCCCGCCCTTCCCCTGGGGGTCATGATTTGAACAATTTAGAATCTACACTATACCAGGATGCTTCCACATAAGTTTCAGCTTTTCTGGCCGAGTGGTTCTTGAGAAGACGATTTTCAAAGATTTTTCCTATATATTTCTATATAAAACTTTGATTCCCCAATGTGGCCCCGCCCTTCCCCCAGGTGTCATTATTTGAACAATTTAGAATCTACATTATACCAGGATGCTTCCACATAAGTTTCAGCTTTTCTGGCCCAGTGGTTCTTGAGAAGAAAATTTTCAAACATTTTTCCTATATATTTCTATGTAAAACTTTGATACCCCATTGTGGCCCCGCCCTTCCCCTGGGGGTCATGATTTGAACAATTTGGAATCTACACTATACCAAGATGCTTCCATATAAGTTTCAGCTTTTCTGGCCCAGTGGTTCTTGAGAAGAAGATTTTCAAAGATTTTTCCTATATATTTCTATATAAAACTTTGATTCCCCATTGTGGCCCCGCCCTTCCCCCGGGGGTCATGATTTGAACAATTTAGAATCTACACTACCCCAGGATGCTTCCACATAAGTTTCAGCTTTACTGGGCCAGTGGTTCTTGAGAAGAAGATTTTTTAATGACCCCACCCTATTTTTGTCTTTTCTTCATCATCCCCCCTTGCGAGGGGATATGTCCCTTCATTTTAACAATTTATATTCCCCTTTACCCAAGGATGCTTTGTACCAAGTTTGGTCAAAATTGGCCCAGTGGTTCTTGAGAAGAAGTCGAAAATGTGAAAAGTTTACAGACGGACAGACAGACGGACGGACGGACAGACAGACGGACGGACGACGGACAAAATGTGATCAGAAAAGCTCACTTGAGCCTTCGGCTCAGGTAAGCTAAAAATCATATCTTGAATTGAAATTACATGGTATTTTATGGAAATGAAGATAGTTATTTGGATGTAAGTGGACGCAGTCATTATTGAATAAATTAAATTTGAATGGTCTAAAAGGATCTCAATGTCATATAATCATACAATAAGAAATACTTTGTTAATTGGTTTGCAGTTGCTAAATGTATGTTTTATGTATTGATGTAGACTAAGTATTTTACATTTCAGAATAATTACCTGTTTCCAATATTTTGTTATATCTCCTTTGTTGATACGATGCTTTTTATTCGCCGGACAGGATGGACAAAGAAAAGTTTCTTTGATAAACTTAGATTCACTAATGACAGCGCTTTCTTTGCTGTCACAAAATCCAGTGGATTTGCATTTGAATGCAACAAGGAATTCCGAGCTTTTCTGGAATGTGTTGGAGAGGTTATCTAATATACGCTCAATGTTTTCCCTAATCTGGTGACAGGTTGAAACATCAACTTCTCCCTCCACAACAAACACTTGCAACTGAATTTCTGTTTGAGTCATTCCAAGCATGATGTTATGGTGCTGGTCATGAAATACGAGAATAGCTGCAGTCTGGTAAATGCATCCTCTGTCTTCATCTGTAAAAATCTCCCAGTTAGGAATCTGCATGCACGTTGCTACAAGGCGATGGAAAATTTCAACAGGAAGAACATCAAACGTGTAGCAAAGGATGGAGGAGGCAGGGTATGATGAAAAGCAGTCTACTGGAAATTGCATCTTGTTCATACAGGGGACATACCAAATTTTGTCGCTCTTTTTAGCTAAGAGTCCTAACTTCTCCATGTACATCATGATATCCTCTTTGTGCTCAAGGTAACCATTGTTGTTCATTCTCCATATGGCAGAGAGTAGTGCTTCATCTAACTCTCCAGTTTCATTGAATTTGTCCCATTCTGAGGCATATTCAAATAAATCTTCTTTTGCATGGTTTTTATCTGTTATGACATTTCTAAATGCATCTGCAAACCACTGAACGTCGAGGATAATAACTTTATTGAGGAATTGTTGATTGAAGTGCATAAGTTCTCTGATGTCATGGAAGAACTGCAGCATGGCATCCATATCTTCAATAGTATGGAGCTTTATTCCCTCAGGCAATGTTTCATTGAAAGCCTGAAGTTCAACCCTACTCAAAATCTTGCGAATTTTCTTTTCCTGAAAGAATGTTTCAAACATAGCCCATGACTGTGGAAGCTCTTCACCCCAGTGATCAAGCTTGCACACAACATCAGCAATGGACAGCTTAAGTTTTTCAATGCTTTTATTGTCATGGAATCCAACCGCAAATCGCCGTTTCACATCAATATGTTTTTGCAAAGACTTCTTCTTCATGTCAAGAGTCTTCCATACTTCTCGGAAAAACAATTCTTTTTCCTAACGAAAACAAATTCTTCATTTTATTTTATGCTAACAAATTAGTCATAGTAAAATAATGTTCATAATCATACAATGATTGTTATTGTTTTGTTCCCACAGAGTTTATGAAACACATTTATACCTGTTTATATTATATTAAATAGTTAGAGATCAGAAAAACCATGTCAAAGTAAAATATGCATGTGTAAACAATAAATAACAGTATTTAAAAATGATACCTTCTCTGTTTTGTTCTCACTGTGTGTTCCAACCAGGATGACAGGAGCCTTATCACTGCCATATTGATGAATGGACTTCATCCAGAATTCAAGATAATCTGAAAAACAAAAAAAAAACATTCAGCTATAAGAGTTTTCTTTGAGATAGATTGCAGGAAATGATGGCGGACGTAAATGAAAAACTATATAGGTAAGAGCTATTTACAAGGCAGGGCATACATGTAACAAACTTATTGCCTTCGTGAGGCTGCAGAGAAAGGCCAATGGACCACATCGCTCACCTGAGCACTAGGGGTAGGAAAAGGTAAAAATTGGCTTTTTATTAGTTAAAAAGTAGTCCCATGACCAATCATGGATTTGTCATTTTTTAGAAAATGATTTTTAAAGAATTTTCCTATATATATCTTTGAAAACTTTGTTCGGCCATTTTGATTTTGGCCCTGCCCTACCCCTGGGGGTCATGATTTGAAAAAACAAAATGAATCTACACTACCTGAGCATGCTTCCATATAAATATGATGAATTATGGTTTTGTCATTCTTGAGAAGGAGATTTTTAAAGAATTTTCCTATATATTTCTATGTAAAACTTTGGTCGGCAATTTTGCCCCCCCCCCCTCTTTCCCCCGGGGTCATGATTTGAATAAACTTGAATCTACACTACCTGAGCATGCTTCCATTAAATATGATGAATTATGGCTTTGCTATTCTTGAGAAAAAAAAAATTAAAGAATTTTCCTATATATTTCTATGTAAAACTTTGGTCTGCCAGTTTGGCCCTGCCCTACCCTCAGGGGTTATGATTTCAACAAACTTGAAACTACACTACCTGAGCATGCTTCCATATAAATATGATGAATTGTGGCTTTGTCATTAAAATTCTTGAGAAGAAGATTTTTAAGGAATTTTCCTTTATATTTCTATGTAAAACTTTGGTCGACCATTTTCGCCCCGCCCTACCCCTGGGTGTCATAATTTGAACAAACTTGAATCTACACTACCTGAACATGCTTCCATATAAATTTGATGAATTATGGCTTTGTCATTCTTGAGAAGAAGATTTTTAAAGAATTTTCCTATATATTTCTATGTAAAACTTTCGTCGGCCATTTTGTCCCGCCCTACCCCGGGGGGTCATGATTTGAATAAACTTGAATCTATACTACCTGAGCATGCTTCCATATAAATATGATGAATCATGGCTTTGTCATTCTTGAGATGAAGATTTTTAAAGAATTTTCCCATATATTTCTATGTGAAACTTTGGTCGGCCATTGTGGCCCCGCCAAAATCCCGTGGGTCATGATTTGAACAAATTTGAATCTACACTACCTGAGGATGTTCTTCCATAAGTTTCATCTTTCCTGGCACAGTGATTCTTGATAAGAAGATTTTTAAAATATGCCAAAAATTTTCATTTATTCCCAATTATCTCCCCTTGAATGAGGGCGTGGCCCTTCATTTGAACGAACTTGAATCCTCTTCACCCAAGGATACTTTGTGGCAAGTTTCTTTGAATTTGACCCAGCGGTTTTTGGGAAAAGTCGAAAATGTGAAAAGTTTACAGACAGCCGAACAGGAGACAGAAAGACGCCGGACAAAACGTGATCAGAAAAGCTCACTTGAGCTTTCAGCTCAGGTGAGCTAATAAAAAATGATTATCGTTTAGGATAAAAGTTTCTTAGGTCTAAAGTTTCGAAATTCAATAAGGCAGATAGGTTCTGAAAATAGGGAAAACTTAATAATTTCCTTTTTAGTACGTCAATTACATTTATCAATGCAATAAATTTTGATCTGATGTGATGGTCCTTTTGGGCCATGCATATAATAATTAAAATACATGTACTACCTCTGTGTGTCCATCCCCTGTAAATGGAACCTTCCTGACAACACACTTCTTCTCCAACCTTATCATCAAACTTCTTCTCCATATTCAGCACCAGAATGAAGAATGCCCGGGGACTCAAAAAAATTTGGTGTGAGGCATAATATGAACACTGTCCTGCAAAGTCAGTCATGGTTATTTTTTTATCTGGATCTTCTGAAATATCTTCTGCACCTATCTGTAAATTTCCAGAAATTTCTGGACTATGACGAATATCTTTTCTTTCCTTCATAACATCTGCTACATTTTCCGGTGATGTGGCCCCCTGTGGTTCATGGGATGAGGTTGTTTTAATGTCGGTATCATCATGTGATATCTGTCCACTGCTTGATGCTTCAGTCGTATTGCCCTCATCATCAGGTGTTTCCATCTTTTCCTGTATTTCCTCATCATTGGCTGCATTTTCTGAATGGTATTCAGGAACACTCTGCTTCATATCTTTTTTATCAAGTCTGAGTTTGAAGTGTTGCTTTTGGCTTGAAGTATTTGCTGCAAATGAAAATGAATGCACATGTAACACCTTCTCACTTTGTTGTTTCTGTACTTTAAGCAAACAGACTATTATACTACTTTATATAAATCTGCAACTTAAGAAATAAATTCTAGGGACAATGAGAGTATTGAACTCCCAAAATGACATCCCCAGGCAGGTTCCAATTGAGTATGATGGTGAATTCTTTGTTTTACTACTGAAAAACCAAATATCTGTCCAATCTGTCCAATCTTAACATAAAGAAGGATGTAGGAATGGCATAAATTTTATTTTATAGTAAATATTATGTAAAAGTGTTGTTTATTAAGTTGTACAGGTGGAATTGCAAATATGAGATGGGTACCACCAATATAATGGTAGTTTCTATGTTTTGCATTAGGAAACCATAAACATGTGTCCATTCAAAGAGTAAAACAGAAGGTTTAAAATTTCTCTATATAACAAAGATTCTGTGAAAGTCTCAATAATTTGATTAAGTAGTAACAATCTTTATTCAGTGGTTAAGCGGTAATGAGGAGTTGCAGATAAGAGATAGATACCCCAAAACGTAATAGACGGACAGATGGAAGGATGGATAGGAGGACACCTTCATCGATATTACACACCCTACTTTCCATGAAGACAAGTAGGGGGATATGGTGCTTCCACATACAATTTTAATCCTACGTATAGATCTAATTATAACACAGGGTATCTAACTCCGAATTACACTCAGTACCCCCTCCTCGGAAATGCATTCATTTACACTTTCAGAGGAAATGCACTAACAAACTGTTTATTACCTCTGTCTTCTACGATAATTTATCTACACAATCAAATATGGCATGCATGTGTTTGTTTTCTTTTATCTCCGTAAACTGCAGCGTCTAAACCCTGCTCACCGATGGAAAGTCGACTTCATTTATGAAACAGTATGTGCTAATCTCGGACAAAGAGCAAAATTTAAAAAATGAGTGAGTTAAAAAAATCAATTCCATATTTTAAAAATTGCATATTAATATTGAATAAATAAAATTTGCTAAAGTCTTATTTTCCATAAAAACACTATGAAGTTTTTCCCATGTAATTTTAGATACAGATCAATCAAATTCGGGCTCAAATTATTTGCCCTGTTTAAATCAAAAGTTCATAATAATCAATAAGAAATCATTATATTTAACATTGCAAATGCACCAATTACAGAAAAAGTTTAATCTTTGCTTTTAAAAAGAACATTTGAAAAATATATACTCAGTATACTGGTTGATCACAAACCAATGAAACATAAACGAATACATTTTTTGAGCGGCATTGACCTTTTGTAAATAACCACACGCACGTAGGATATGACCCTCTCCCTCCATTCCATTCCCCCCCCTTGAAAAGTGGGGGATATTAATTTGGGTTTGTCTGTCCGTCCGTCCGTCCTTCTGTCTATCTGTAACACTTTCGTTTCCACACGATATCTCGAGAACCCTTTAAGCTTTCTCAATGAAATTTTTCATAGCAACTCCCTGTGGACTAAAGTAGAACCTTGATTTTGAGGTCAAAAGGTCAAAGGTCAAGGTCATAAATTCGCAAATTCTGTCTGTAATAACAACGTTTCCGCACGATATCTCAAGAACCCTTTGAGCTTTTGCAATGACATTTTACATATTAACTCCCTGTGGCCTAGGGAAGAGCGCTTTTGATTTTGAAGTCAAAAGATCAGAATTCAAGGTCATACATTTACACATTCTGTCTGTGTGTTTACACTATCCTTTCCGGGCGATATTTCAAGAAGATTTTGAGCTTTTGCAATGTAATTTTATACCAAAACTCCCTAGGACCTCTCTCACCCCTCTCAAAGTGTCCCGCCCCGTTTGTTTTATTAGTATTTATTTATTATATGTCCCTATTTTTAGCACAGGGGCATGAGGAGAGTTATTACGAATAAAACAGGTTCTTGGCAGACTTTATATTCTTTCTACATCCATTAGAACTGTTTAATAATGGTTATATAGACATCATGCATTGTGTAAAATTTTTACAATATTGAACGTGAATATAATTATACATGTATGTGTGACTTCATTTTTGCATATAATTTTCAAGCGGATCCGAGATGTAGTGGTATGTCTCTCGCTTCACATGTGAGAGGTACCGGGATCTAATCGAGGGCAATCCATCTTCTCTTTTTTTCGAAATACTTTTTTTTACAAAATGATAGTATTCAGCATGTGAGTTGAAAAATTTTTGAGGCCTGGCTTGCACAAACTCATAAAATCATCATTACGGTGTGATCAATATTCCATATAAAAAGAATCTTCTATACACATAATAAAGAATAAACAATTAAATTTTTATATCCGTACTGGCATATTTAATTTTCTTCTGTATACATTGAATAATTCTACAAATTCAGTCAGGGGGATCCGACCCTCCCCCTGAACTGCACATGGTTCAGGGGCATAGCAACGGGGGGGTGGGGGGTGGGGGGGGGGGTGGTGCCCCCCACTTTTTCCACCAACCTTACTTATACTATAGGAAAAGTTAATTGAAAGCTTGGTTGCCCCCCCACCCCCCACACACTTTTAGTGATGTACCGAAAATGTAGTATGAGAATTGGTAGTGAATGTAGTTGACACTGAGAAATAGTTTACCTCAACCCCCCCCCCCCCCCCCCCCCCCCAACCACCACCACCACCACCACGAAAAAGGGTTTTCAACTTTGGGCAATTTCTTTTTTTATGTTTTTTTTTTTTTTTAACTTTTTCAGGTAAGTAAAAAAAAAATTTTCTCTGGCTGCCCACCTTTCAAAAACGATGCTACGCACCTGTGGTTCACTTTTTCCCTAAGCGGGGGACAAAAATTCTCTGAATTAGCTTGTTCTAGCTAAAGCCGGGGATTAGTAAACTTTTTCCGATTTTTGTATTTTTACTGAACTCTACCCTATATGCGGTTGATTTAATCGAAATATTTACTAATCGAAGGCACATAAAAAATTAAATAAAAATCTGAAAAGAAAGAAGAATGTCTTTATAATTTTTTGATATCTGCATATTATATGTTTTCCGACGCTTTAGATTATGATAAAGTGACGATTAAGTGAGGCAGACGACGAGAATAACAAGAGGCCCATGGGCCACATCGCTCACCTGAGAAGCTTTGACCATTCTGTTCTTTACCAGATTTCCCCCATCTTATACATAATGCATCCCCACCCTACCGCACTGATCATAATTTAGACATTTTGAAATCTACACTACCCCATGATCCTTCCATGGGCACATATGTTTCAGCTTTTTTGGCCCAGTGGTTCCCGAGAAGAAGATTTTCAAAGATTTTTCCTATATATTTCTATGTAAAACTTTGATTCCCCATTGTGGCCCTACACTACCCCAGGATGCTTCCACATAAGTTTCAGCTTTACTGGCCCAGTGGTTCTTGAGAAGAAGATTTTTTAATGACCCAATCCTATTTTTGTCTTTTCTTGATTATCTCCCCTTGCGAGGGGATATGTCCCTTCATTTTAACAATTTAAATTCCCCTTTACCCAAGGATGCTTTGTACCAAGTTTGGTTAAAATTGGCCCAGTTGTTCTTGAGAAGAAGTCGAAAATGTGAAAAGTTTACAGACGGACAGACAGACGGACAGCTAGACGGACGGACGGACGGACGACGGACAAAATGTGATCAGAAAAGCTCACTTGAGCCATCGGCTCAGGTGAGCTAAAAACAAATTGCAAGCCATCTTTTTTTTATATATCAGTCGAAAAAGAAATACATGTTTTTAAAGACAGCGCAAAGAGATAAAAGGTTAACATTATTAGTAACATGCAATGCGTATTTAAATTCCAAAATAGGAACACCCCCAGAAAAACGGAAAAGTATCATGGTGTGATTTTTGATAAAAAAAAAATATTAATAGTTACATTTAGCAGACTTTGTCATATACATTTAATTACTAGTAACTATAATAACTTTTAATTACAGGTCACCATGACCTACTTTTTGGTCATCACTCTCCGAAAACCCAAGACGCATCAACTCACAAAATTTGATGATTCTAAGCCAATAAATACCTAAGATACTAAGATATAGCCATAAAAAGTTAAAAGTAAGTCACAGTGACCTATTTTTTGGACATCATTGTCCGAAACCCAAGATGCATCAACTTACAAAGTTTGATGATTCTAAGCCAATAAGGACCATACTTAAATAAAGCCATAAAATTTCAAAAGTAGGTCACCGTGACCTACTTTTTGTTTGTTACTCTCTGAAAACCCAAGATGCATCAACTCAAAAAGTTTGTGATTCTAAGCCAATAAATACCTAAGATAGTAAAATATAGCCATAAAATGTTGAAACTAGGTCATTGTGACCTATATTTTTGTCGACATTTTTCATAGTCACAAGATGCATCTGCTGACCAAGTTTGATGATCCTAGGTCTGAAGGTAATCAAAATATGCCTTTTAAACAATTCGAAAACAAATGCCTGCAAAATTCAACAAGAGGCCCAGGGGACACATCGCTCACCTGAGCAATTTGCTAGGAAAAAGCACATATCAGATCCGAACTTTCCGAACTGAGTTTGGGGGGGGGGGGCTTGAATTTTAACCTCATAGGGGGTCATGGTTTGAACAAACATGAATCTACACTACCTGAGGATGATTCCATATAAATATCACTAAGCATGGATTTGAAGTTCTTGAAAAAAAGATTTTAATAGGTTTCCCTATATATTCCTAAGTAAAACTTTGATCGGCCATTTTGGCCCCACCCTACCCCCGGGGGTCATGATTTGAACAAACTTGAATCTACACTACCTGGTGATGATTCCACATGAGTTTCACCTTTCCTGGCCCAGTGGTTCTTGAGAAGAAGATTTTTAAAGATTTTTTCTATATATTCCTATGTTAAACTTTGTGATCGGCCATTTTGGCCCCACCCTACCCCCGGGGGTCATAATTTGAACAAACTTGAATCTACACTACCTGGTGATGATTCCACATGAGTTTCATCTTTCCTGGCCCACTGGTTCTGGAGAAGAAGATTTTTTAAAAATGCCATTAATTTTTCTCTAATTCATAATTATCTCCCCTTGGAAAAGGGCATGGCCCTTCATTTGAACAAACTTGAATCCCCTTCACCTAAGGATACTTTGTGGTAAGTTTGGTTGAAATTGGCCCAGTGGTTCTTGAGAAGAATATGAAAATGTGAAAAGTTTAACAACAACGACTACAATGACAACGACAGACAACGGACAAATTGTGATCAGAAAAGCTCACTTGAGCCTTTGGCTCAGGTGAGCTAAAAAGTAGGTCACAGTGACCTACTTTTTCATTAATATGTTTTAAGGTCCCAAGATGCATCAATTAACAAGATTTGATGATTTTAAACCTCTCAGTGTCTGAAATAATTGGATTAATTGTTTTAAGAAGAATTAGTCATAAAGTTCAAAAAGTAGGTAACAGTGACCTACTTTTAAGCTGACGTTGTTAAGGACCCAAGATGCATCAACTGACAAATTTTGATGATCATAGGCATTAAAGTGCCCGAAATATGCCTTCAAATCAATTTGAAAACAAATGCCTACAAAATTTAAAAAGCAGGTCACCGTGACCTACTTTTGCGTTAACATGATGTGAAGTTGTAAGATGCATCAACTTACAAGATTTGATGATCCTAGTCCTAATAGTAGGCAAAATATAAACGTTTTTATTATTTGTAAATTTAGGTCAATTTAAAGTGACCTTGAGACCACGCTCTTTGCCCGAGGGTCATGCCTTAAAGAATTTTTAATCTTCAACATATCCTGATCCTTGTATGTAAGTTTGGTGAAAATCTGCCTGGTGGTTCTGGAGAAGAAGATTTTTAAGCAACCAGTACTTTTTGTTTTGTTTTCTTGATTATCTCCCTTTGTTTAGGAGTCCCAACCCTTATTTTAGTATAAAAGGTAGCCCTTGGGCCCAGGATACCCTGTGACAAATTTGACACTGATTGGCCAAGGGGTTCTTGAGTTATGGCCCATATTCTAAAAAGTTAATGCACACCGCAACTTGCACAAATGGCCATAGCAATAGCTCTTTGAGCCTCAATCTTCGCCAAATCTTTTTTTCAGCACATGCCCTTCGGGCAGGTGTGATCACCAATTACGCAAGCCCGAACAAATAATTACATGCCCAGAATTTTATCAAGTTATTTTATTCTTATTTGCCTTTCCATGCAAAGGAAATAATCTGAAAATCCAATCTGTCAATTTCTTGTCTCGCCATTTGTTTTCAACCTGTACACTTTTTGTGTCTCTTTTGCGGAAGAGTTCCTTGGAAATCGCGGTAAAATAAGATGTCGGTAAAATTTTATTTTTTTTTTACTTCACTTAGATTGAAAATCAGAGACTTTAAAGTACATTTTATGTTTTGAGTCTTATTTAATTCAATTATACCACAGGTACTTGTGGACAGGACCCCCCCCCCCCCCCCTTAAACACCCCTGGTGTTTAAAAATATTTTTTTTCTTTTTTTGTCATGAATTATGTTTCTAGTACTTATTTACAACGTATTCCATATGAAAAATCCAAAAAATAACATAGATTTGACGATTTACTAAAAAAGTCATACCCTGGTATTATAAAATAGAGAAGGTAAGTCACTTCGGGTTGTTAATTCGGACCCCTCTTGATTATCGGGCCTAAAATATCATATACCTACTACATGTCACCAAAATGGGTCATGATATCTTGTTTCGGTAGAGATTTTTGTCGTTAATCGTGCCATTTAATTGCCCAGACATTCCCCAGTTATCCGAGTATTCAGCATCAAACGTGAAAAATTTGGAAATGTCAAAGCAGAAATTACGGAAGTGATCCAAAAACGACACCTAGCGGGTAACTTTCGAGTTCCGAGTGTCATAGAATGAAGGGAAAAGCCAGAGAACTACGAAAAAGTTCGGGAAAATTTTGATAAAAGTCGAAATCGATTCATTAGAATTTAGATTTTGCTGCAGATTTTCGAGATGAATTAGGGTCGTCTTCAATATTCTTTTTACTAAAGACGATTTGTTACTGATACAATATAGTGTTTTAAAAATCGCATAGAGACATTAAATGACATGTAACCCCCCTTTTCTACGTGGATATGTTTAGGCAAACTCAACTTTAATTTTCTAGTGACTGTGTCTGCGTAAAGGTTGATTTCTGTTAATGCGTTAGTTTAAATAGATAAATACGACCAGAAATGTGCTTATTCAAAACAGCACAAAAATCATTATTCGCTATATTATTTATTATATGGGAAGGAGTGTGTGCACGTCATTACAGGTTAGAATTATTTTGATTATACTATAAATGTAGAGAAAGGCGTCTATCCCATATATCCCAGAATACATCCCATCCAATATTCAGTAGTCAAAATCAAGTACATGCAGGCACGTAGCATCGTTTTTTGAAAGTGGGGGGGGGGGGGCAACCAGAGAAAAATGTTTTTTTACTTGCCTGTAAAAGTTGACAAGCAAAAAAAGGAAATTTGCCCAAACTCGAAAATCCTATTTTGGGGGGGGGGGGGGGGGGGGGTAGTGGCCAACCTTTTCCAAGGCCAACTCCCTTTTACTTCCAATTTTTTTGCATACAATACCACATTTTCTTCCTGGCCCCCTATTGCTACATCCCTGAGTACATGTACAACAAGTGACAATATTAAACGATGGCTGTTAGATAAGACATACCGAAAGTAGTTTTAAGTCTATGAATTTATACCTAGACAGGCTCGTAGGAAGCAATTTCAGACTGGGGGATGGGGAACAGCCAAACATTTTTAGTTAGGGCACTATGCTATCAACTTAAAATTCCGCAACAAGCAAAAAGAAATGTCACTGGTTTTTATTGAGGGGCACGAGCATATAGTACCCGTACAGCATATTATATAATACATTTATAAAAATATTATTCCTACGGCCATGTTAGATAAATAAAAAGAAGTTAAGCTTCTTTAACAAAGCAGCTAGATATACACAGCCAAGACCAGAAACAAACTCCGAGGCTGTAGTAAGGACAATAAACGAGAGAATGTGATCTAATGAAAAGTTCCGATTTTCATTTATTTTTAAGAAACGATTCATAAATGCTTAAATTCTATGGCAAGTGAGAATCATTGTATAAGATAATTAATTTCATGATATCGGAATTATTGTAGATTGGGGCGGCGATGGGGGTGGGGGTTACATGTATTTTAATGTCTATTGCGATTTTTAATACGCTATATGGTATCAGTGATAAATCCTCTAAAAAGAATATTGAAGACGACCCTAATTCATCTCGAAAATCTGCAGCAAAAATTTAAATTCTAATGAATCAATTTCAACTTTTATCAAAATTTTCCCGAACTTTTTCGTAGTCCTCTGGCTTTTCCCTTCATTCTATGACACTCGGAACTCGAAAGTTACCCGCTAGGTGTCGTTTTTGGATCACTTCCGTAATTTCTGCTTTGACATTTGTAAATTTTTCACGTTTGACGCTGAATACTCGGATAACTGGGGAATGTCTGGGCAATTAAATGGCACGATTAACGACAAAAATCTCTACCGAAACAAGATATCATGACCCATTTTGGTGACATGTAGTAGGTATATGATATTTTAGGCCCGATAATCAAGAGGGGTCCGAATTGACAACCCGAAGTGACTTACCTTCTCTATTTTATAATACCAGGGTATGACTTTTTTAGTAAATCGTTAAATCTATGTTATTTTTTGGATTTTTCATATGGAATACGTTGTAAATAAGTACTAGAAACATAATTCATGACAAAAAAAGAAAAAAAAATATTTTGACCAGGGGTGTATAATGGGGGGGGGGTCCTGTCCACAGGTACCTGTGAATTATACCGAGGCTTATGCCTTAGAATTAACATGCCCTTCGGGCTTGTAAGTGTACAATTTCCACATGCCTGCTTCCAATTTTACCAGGTCCCGGGCATCGGACTCCCGGGATTTGTCGAAGACTGGAGCCTTTGGCTCAGAAGAGCTAAAAATTACAAACGGACGGACAGCTAGACGGGCAATGGACAAAATGTGATCAGAAAAGCTTACTTGAGCCATCAGTTCAGGTGAGCTAAAAATACCTTGGATGCTTTCTGTCACATCAAAGACATCTGAGTGGATATTGACTCCTCTAGTTGACGTAATAGTTTCCTTTATTTCTTCCAGGTCAATGTCCTTCAATCTCTCTAACAATGTTGTTTTACCACTTCCGGCACACCCTATTATCATCCCAGAGGCATGGTACATGGTTGTCTTCCCTTTTTTTAAATTCTCAATGAAATTCGTCACAGATTTGTCTCCCCTTAGGATAATCTGCATTGGTATTCCAACTGTAATGACAAAACTCTAACATTACAAAGCTGTGACAGAGTTAAACTCATGATGACAAACAATCATGGCTAGAAGCCTCTGATGAGGCTGTACTCTACTGGTTTGTACTTATAACGAAGCTAAAGAAGAGTAGCACTTGGACTTGAAACTTTGCAACGGCAATGAACAGAGTAATGGTCTTTGGTTTAGTCTTTTTTGTAGCAAGATTTATTGCAATCAGATTAATGCAATCAGATGAATGTAGGAAGAGTAATGAAACCTTTTAAAAGATTTTAAAGATATTTTGATTTAAAGTAACCATGGCAACTTCATTCAATAATATCCAAAAAAAAATTGTTAAATCAATTATGTATCTCAGTGTAATCTATTTGCATGTCAAGTTACACAAAAACTAAAGCAAAACTATAGGACAAGCATTTTGAATGCATTTCACAGAAATTTGTATTTTTAGTAACCACAGCGTAAACCTTATCTAATTAAATAATTCAGGTGAGATAAAAATAGATTTACATTTTATAAATACAGCTTCATGGAATGACTGGTCCTCCATTGTTGGGTGCGTGAAAATATCTTGTCCAAGTCTTTCTAAAAACTCCTCATTTTTTTCTGGCATTAACCAACAGCAAACTTCATCCTCTCCTCTCTGATAATTCCATGATCTACAGTACTCAGCAATGTTTTCTTTTTCTGCCCAACTCAAGAAAATATCAGTAAAGTTTAACTCAAAACTCTTTGAAAATTTCATGAAACTTAAGCTTTTGAAGAGCTCAGTGGAAAAAGTTATCTCTGATTCATTGAGTTTCAGAATTGGTTTGTATTGTTCCAAATCTGTACGAACAAATGGCTTTGTGATTTTCTTGGAGTGAAAACTTTTTGCAATAGCATTATATTTGGTCATCCAGTTTCCTTCTTTCATGTTTATTTTGTAGGAATTGGAAAGAAGAATGCACATCAATAGTGTATCTCCATCTACAAAATAAAGAAATATATACATTTATATACAAGCTCGGAAAACACCCTGAATGTATTAACATCACCGACTATTATAATTGTTATACAGAATGGAGTAATTTTCCCATAAATTTTTATCAGCATTATACCAATAACAGGTCTCCTTACATTGTTTCAAATGTTTCTGAAAGGGCATGTTTGTGTGTCAGGGACATCCAGATAACACCGTAAAGCCTATGCACATGTATAAAAATTCCTTCAGATGTAAAATTGTGTAATTAGTAATGCTCTTCATCACATTAAATGTAAATTATGGTTAATACACTTCATTCAAGAATTTGATTGAGGTGATTCGTGGCCTTGAACTTGCTAAAGTGACCTTGCGTAAAGGTCGACACACCTCATCAATGTACCCAGTATATGCTAGCTTTCAGTTTCGTGTATTCCGATTATGTAGTTTTGGGCTTGACATGACAGACAAACAAATCGACAACTTGACAGATAAAAAGACAAGATGATTTTATATACCTCCCAATATTTGGATAAAGACAAACCTACAGACAACAAGACATCCAATTAAATGGATAGTGTACAAACTTAGGACAGAAGATTATCCCTTGTGTGTTTGGATCGGGTAAATAAAGGCCATTGTTATAAATAATTTATTGATAATTTAAACAGAATTGGATCAAATATTTAAAATATATTCCATTTACTACATACATAAAATGTTTAAGAAACTAATTAAACTCTTACCCTCCATCCTGTGAATGTTGTCAAACAATGTCTTTATCTTTCTAAGTTCATGTCTGCTGTGATCCTCAGAGCTGGTACACTCCACACACAAGGGAACACCACACGGGGTACAGAACTGGTCCAGGGGAATTCTGGGATGTTTTCTACATTTGATGTCCTCCAGAGGGACTCCTGTTAAAAATAAAAAAAGTCTTATATTGTAAATACTTTTTAAAAATCCTGATTAATCTTCACAAAACAATGTCAATTTGGTACTCATATATATAAAGAAAGTCCAAATATTTATGATATTGGAGTAGTTAAAATGTTTTGAGTTCAAAAATTTTAAAATAAAATCTTGATATTTACATTCATTAGAAAAACCATTTGTGATTTTCATTATGCCAATAAATACTAAGGGAGATAATTTTGTTCTGATAAAACATCGTTGATTAATTATCTCAAATGATTATGTATGGGGATTTCTTGTTTCCAATATCATCACCATTATAACAATATAAAACTAGAGGTACTGTGAGCAATGGGCTCACTAAATGATACCCCCCGCCTCCCATATATGTATAAATGGCAGTGTCCATGTTTTGCTATGGGAAACCCAAAATATGTGTCATAAAAAGTAAAATAGGAAGTGTCTTTTAGCTAAGTACTGATGACCTTAGCTATGCTCACATGACCTTTGTTCAGAGTTAACTCCACTCAAAATTCACTGAATACAAACATATATATATATGTGGTTGGATGTAAATTATAAATGAAAACAATCCAAAAATTTTCTCATAAATTGAAATAGGTCATATGAGTTCGCAATAATGAGAAAATACTGACATAATAGTACAGACATATCATATATTACCCCCCCCCCCTTCCCTTAGCATCAATACTTAGTTCAGTAACCGTGTAAACCACAGAAATCAACCCTACATATCTCTGTCAGTGACCTCCAATGCTTGTAAAAGGGTAAAAATGAAAACATTTTCAGTGCATTATCATCTAAGGGCTTCCAGTCTCTTAAATTCATGTGGTTGGGATACATAGGGTTACAAATTGACAGAATAAATCTAGTACAAGTATTTTCTCCTTTACCATATCTTGTACTTACACTTGATACAGGTAGTGATAAGGAAATTATATTTTTAGTTTTATGGATCAACTTTTTTGAAACAAAGCAGGAGGCTAATTTGTTTTTTTAAAAGGAATTATTTTAAAACTTTTATTATGAAAAGGGAGGTAACTTAATTTTTTCTTTACCTTCAAATACAAAATTGAATTGTCTCCCTTTCATTAGCAAGTTAATAAAATTATTCAATGCAGTTGCATTCATGCTTATTCTATAGTTTCTAAGAAATATTTTTTTGTTCATAAAAATGAAATGAATCTTAAGCATCAGTGTGGACTTAAAGCTTGAATAATGTTGGTTATCTCGGACCTCCATATTTCATTAGACATCTAGAACTTTCCCATACAAAAAATGTCACTCCAGTACACAGTGTAGATTTACTGAACACCTGCTACAGAAATACACAACATTCCTAGACAGAGCTGTGTTAATATCAATGGTGTCTATATCAAACTGTCAACATTAGTACAAATTGTCATCTCTTCTGAATGTAGAATTACTTAAACTGAATACATTATCATGATTATATAGGACTTTGTAAAAAATAAAAAAAAAATTCATCTGCTATTTCTCAAAACTGATCATACAACACCAAATGTATTTATTGAACAAAACTTCACACAATTTCAAAAGTTGATTATTACCCCAAAGACAGTATATGGTACATATATCTATAATTCAAAGCCTATCTGTCAAACAAATAGATGTATGAATAATATACCACAAGATGGTTCTGATAAAATTTTACAAAAAAGTTTGACATAAGATTCAGTATATACATGTATGAATCAGTGATTGAAGAGTGACACACAACATCTTACAATTCATTACAGACTAGATGTTAATCTATCATTTCTTTTAAATCTTTTTATTATATACCCATCAATTTCCTTGTTTTTGTTACTGTTAATTTTACAGAGTTTGATCCGATTTTCCGGATCACCACACTGTGGTTTTCTGAATCCATATCACCACTCTCTGAAACTGATGACGTAGTACGCAAAAACATGATGTTATTTTTCTTGCGCATTAAAAAGTCCTTAGTTATTATGCTTTGTTTTATGGATAAATGTTATACAATTGATCTCTTAAGTTTTATTCTGCTACATTTAGCTAGTTATAAGGGGGTATATAATAAATGTATCATTATAACAGTAACTTGATCCGAAGAGCCGTATCACGTCTCGTTGACAGGCGCGGATCATCAGATCACACTCGACGCTTCGCGTCTCGTGAGATCTGATGATCCGCACCTGTCAACTCGACGTGATACGACCCTTCGGACCAAGTTACTGTTATAATAATATATATTTATCATATTTGTGGTCAGAAAATTCATCTTTAACAGCTTATATTTGTTGTTTACACAATGAGCAATCATTTCTATTAGATTTGTAAATAAACACTTGAATACATTCATGTAAAGTCATTCTAAAATGACCTCTCTATTACAATGTAGTTATTTAGTATTGTTATAATAATTATACAATAAAATAAAACAGACTACAATGTTACTTACCAGTCAAAGAGTCTGTATCTACCACTCTGTATAGGTGGACTGTGTTGTTGGCCCATGCCCCTACCCACAGTAGATTAGTGTCATCATTATAACTCAGGCCCTGTGGATACTTTATCCCGTGTTGTTGTGTCAGTATCTCTGTCAGATAGTGACCATCACTATCTAACATCTTTACTGACGGTGTGTCTAGATCACAGACCAGGATGTGTGACAGCGCGTCAGTACAGATTCCTAGTGGTATTAATTGTGATCCTGATGGAGGACCTGTGTAGGAGAATCGGTAATTACCGTCACGATCTGTCACCACTACAGCCTCACGTAACAAGTCAGACACAATAACATCTCCATTGCGGTTCTCTGTGATGTAGATAGGATCATTATACAGTCCCTGACCTGTGTTGTTGTGGTGCTGTATGGTCTGGATGTTTTCTCCTGTGGAGTTATACCGCACTACCTTGCCTGTCCTTGTATCACCTCTACACATCCCGACCAGCAGGTCTCCAGTGGAGGGGGAGCTGTAGACACTCCGTGGTTCCCATGGTGCTGTGTTGTACTTTATTATCGTAGTCTTTTCTCTGTTATCTTTGGACAGTTTAATGATGTTATATTCACTGTCTATATAAATTAGATCACCATTAGAGTCCACAGCGTGTACTCCCACATCACTACCTATATCTGTCACACTGTCTAGTTCTTCCCCTTTAGTGTTTGTCAGTATAAGATTGCCTTCATCATCACTGATCCAGACCCGGTCTGATGACACACGTGAAATGTGCCAACACTGACTAACACCAGACACGGTGACAGATTTCTGGTACACTCCTCTATACATTATTTACAGCAGACCTCTATTTCTTTATCCTGATGTTGTACAACAGAATCCCGTGTGGATTTCCTCAGTCAGGGAGATCTCTCTGTAAATTACAACATTGTAACAGAATTATCTACATCAGTTACATGTCTATCTGTAAACATTAAATGTTTTAGATCTATATTTTATCTTAATACACTTCTTTTAATTAAATCTAGAACAATAACTTATCTCTGTTCACAATTAATCAAATTTACACAAATATAGAAACCTTAACACTGACTTCTGAAATCTTTCATTGTCTCTGTGAAGTGCAGGGTCCAAGTACTCTCAATGGAAGTTTATCTAAAATGAAAATATGTGACAGATTAAAACATACCATGTATTCATAATAAAAATACCGACGATTATAGACATCAGTAACATGCTTTTATTTACAGTGTACGCAGTGAATAACATGTATTTATATTAAAGTTTTGGTTTAGAACTTAAAGATCACACTATTATTAAGACACAGACACACATAAATACCTTTGTACATATACTTGGTTCTGAATTCTTTCTTTTCTTTGTATAGCAAGGTCCTAGTATTCACAGCGAAGTCTGTTTTAAAATCAAAATTTAAAGATTAAAACAAAAAAGAATTAGAGCAGTCATTCAAAATTTTTCTGCAGTGCATGAATTATAAAATATTTGAAATGTAAACTGAAAAATTGACTTCAAATATTTCCTGTTGTTTATACCGGGTAAACTTTATATACAAACTTATAAATTGTATAAAATCTTGATATTCAACCTTTACTTTATATATTACAGTATTAAATTATTTTTTTGATATTTTTCAAATATCCATTTATAAAGTAACAACAATGTGCAGTATTAAATGTAGATATTTGTGATGATGTACCACACTTTATAGATACTGGTATGATCTATTGGTGTGATGTGTTGGTACACCGTTATATAAAGTAACATAGAAATGTATACCACACTGATGCCTTGTGTCTTGTAACAACTGTACAGTTATATAAGGTAACAGAGAAATGTATACCACTCAGATTTCTTGTGTCTTGTAACAACTGTACAGTTATATAAGGTAACAGAGAAATGTATACCACACTGATTTCTTGTGTCTTGTAACAACTGTACAGTTATATAAAGTAACAGAGAAATGTATACCACACTCATTTCTTGTGTCTTGTAACCACGGCAAGGTTTCTATTACTTTTGGTTTGTGTCCTTATGGCCTGGCGAAAGAAAAAAAAAACATTATTATTCATCATCCTACAGAAACATGTATTTAATTCATTTATTTTATTTTCATTTTGATATTTCACAAGTCTTGTACATGCATTATCTCTTAGAGGTCCTTCCTTATGCCTTACACATTGAATTTTGAAAATTTTGGCCTGAGAAACAAATAATTTATTTTTCATGGCCTTACTTTTATAGATTATGAACATATTAAACATTAACATTAAGTGGTTTAAAAACCTGTATGGAGGTGACAATTTTCTTCCCTTAAAAACTACAGCACATCCTGGGAAATCTGTAAAAACAAATTCAAAATCACTGATATATCAAAGTATAGATTCAAAATGGATCTAACATTTAGTGTGTGATTTAGATATAAATTTGGGACATATATGTTTGCTATTTACAGCTATATATATATGGGTATAGAATGTACAATGGACTTGTAAAACAGTGCAAGTGAACATGTAAAGTTACAAAATTATGATTTTCTATTTTCATGTTACGTACAGTATTTTTTTTTTTTTGGGGGGGGGGGGGGTCACTTTCAAAATTCTTTATGTAAAATTCATGAAATATTCGCTGCGGTAACTTTCAAGTATCGTGTACATGTACTTTATAGCCTCGTGAACTTCTAGAATAGGAAAACATGATTTATACATTAACCTTTTAATGATATAGAGTATATACAAAATAATTATAATATAACCCTGTACACTGGAAAGACCATCCTCTTCTTTTCCACAGTTGCACTTTACATCTTGTGAAATCTATAAAAAGATTTATTCCATGATAACTCTCACGTTAAGAATATCATAAAAGAAGGCGTACATCAAAGGTTTCACATAACATGCATTCAACCTTATTACGAGCTTTGTCAATTTAACGTCAAAAACACGCTATAACGAAGTCAACCTACCTATCAATTTCAAAATTGGTTTCAAAATCAGCTGTATAAAATTGTAATTACATTTTTAAACCCTTTATTTTTTTAAGTTTGTTTCATTTGTCTTCATCGGCATTTGTTTTGTGCATCAAGGCTCGCAAAAATAATTTGATATACAGTAATCCATATACAGCTTGATACAGGCCTTAAGCAACTGATTTCCATGTGCATGAAGGGGGAGGGGGCTCTGAAAAATTCTGCATACTACAGCTAGAGCTATGCTACACGTATAACATAAGATTTTTTCAAATTATAGATTTCTTCCGTATAAATTCAGAAGAGATGTAAAGCCCCAGCCACTAAGGGTTACAATTGATATAGCCCATTTTTATGAAAACTTTATCGGAGATAACATGTAACAATTTTGCTATGAAAGTACTATCAGCCAAAGTAGGCAGATCATAATAGAAAATATTAAAACAAACATTATTATTTACTAAACCTAGAAACTGTTTTGAATTGAATTTTGGTTAGAAACACACGCATATGGTCCACGTATTGTAGTCCTTTTTTAAAAGACAGCAACTTGTATAACAATTATCACTTCAACACCTGCGTTATTAAAACATAGCCAGTGGAAAGCAAATATCAATGTAATTTGTAAAAACAGTCAATTACATTCAAGAAAATTATCAATAGATACCAATTTAAGAACTGTTTAAGAGGCTGTCCACCGAAAAACCAGGCAATGGGCGGCACATCGCATGTCATGGATTTTAATTATTTTTTGCATATAGACTTATTAAAGCAAGTGTTTACACATGACAACATCAAAAAATTTTAAAGTGCTCCTCTAGTCCTAGTTTTGGTAAATGCTTAATTTTAAGTGCAAAAAGGTCAACTTGAGGGTTAAAAAAAATACTACGTTTTTATTTTGTTTTATATGTAACAGATACTCCAGAGGTGGATGTGCAAATGAATATCATTTATAGAATAGACTTTTATCTTTTTTCTATGAATGAATAAGACTCCAATTCATACTTCTTTAGAAAAAATTATCTGGTCCAAATTTGAGTTTAACAAGTAAATGTTTAAATTCAGTATCCAAATTTAATTACATTATAAAACCCAATACAATACAAGGACATATTTGTTTACTTATATTTTTATGAATACAAAGTACAAACTTTTGGGTCATTCAATAAAATCATTGGGAAAAGGTATTTTGAAAGAAATAAAAGGAGTCAAATTTACTTATTTTTTATAGATTTCACAAATGAAACCGATCCCGACCGGAATTGTATAAAGAAGAAAATACTAAAATAGTAGTGTCAAATTTGGCTCTTTTGTTGTAATATCATTAAGAAATTACTGGATTTTTTTTTAACATATTATATAGGTGACAGGTGCCTTTAGTTTGATAAATTTATTAATTTTCATTATTTTCGATCGGGATCGGTTTTATTTCAATCGGGATCGGTTTTTTCCGTAAATTCAGAAAAAAAATGCTAGTCTATTATTTCTTTTCAGTCAGTTTACTGTTTTTAAATGAATGTAACCATAGATTCAAATGTATGTATTATTTAAATTACCAATGTCTTTTACTTACATGAAGATTACATGTAAAACATCTGATCTGATTGATTTCTTAATACATACTAGGGATTTAAAAAAAATTATTTGTGCATGCATTATGCAACAACCAGAGCGGACAACTTTCTAGCTTCATTATTCATCTCATTTCCAAGTAAAATTTCTTTTTTATTTCTACCAGGAATTAAAGAGTAAATTCTATCAGTAGCCAAATTAAAATTGCCTAAATGCAAGAAATATTTTTATGTGTACAGTCTCGACTTTATCCAAGTTTTTTCTTACCTGTCATCTGTAAAGCCTTTTCCTCTTTTACAAAATTTGATTTTATATAAATAAGAAAATATTAAGTTCTTTCATGTGAATTATAATTATTCAAGAGCCGATAAATCGCAAGCAAGAAGCGAGGAAGGGGGGGGGGTGCGGGGTCATGGCATAATTATTTTTAAAAATTGGTTTCATGAACGTGAAAACATTTTAGTATTGGTCAATATAGTCACAGGTTAATACTCCATATTAAATATGAGCGTGTGATTGTTTCAATCGCCGAATAAAAATTAAATTAAAGAAATAAAATAAAAAAAAAATATGTTTCACTAAACCACCTTCCGTTATAGTGCCAAATTATAGTCGGGAGTTCAGCAGTAATATTTTTATAACTTATTTTTCAGTTGTTTTTTTTTTTCATTTTTAATCGTACTGTTGATAATTTATTTTGATTTGATTGCATAGATAAATGTATTTAAGTTTTAGTTTTTACATCTACCAACTTCGTTGAATTAAATGTTGCGTAAATCTAAAACATTCATCATTGATTCCCAATTTTATAAGAAATGTTCCGAATCATTATAAACACTTCATTAATTATTTTAACGCAAATCCTGGTAAATCAATTTTTAAAACATAGTTCTCGGTCATGTATAAAATTACTTACGACAGCGGAACATTAACTGGCAAAATTGGAAATATACAGCTTACGTCATTTCTATCTGTTACAATCAAAACATTCAGTGATAGACAATGAAATGGGCGGGTACAATTCGACGCGGACGTTTGGAAAACATGGGATTGAAATTGCAGATCGAAAGTCATTTTCAATCCACCTCAGCTACCTAGAAGGCACATATTACTGATTGACCCAGAAGACAAATAATTTCAACTTTGGTACAGTTTGAATTTTTTTTGTCCAGTGTTTTAAATGAATAAATATTTAAGGGAGAAATATTTCATTTCTGTTTGATAAATATATGTATAACATTGTCTTGGTGGGGGGTGGGGGGTCGAGCGATTTTTAAATAAATTTGTCCAACAGTTTTCAGTGAGAATAAGTATAAAACTCATGCACTATTATAATCCTATAAATAAAATATATTGTCATGTTAAGCCATGACCTGACTCGACAATTTTTTACCCCCCCCCCCCCCCCTTCTAGAATCAAATATCTCCTGAAAAATAATCTTTGTCTTGAATGATCTTTGGCGTTCTTAAAATTATAAGCTAAAACTAATATTAATGTGAACTTCAAACAATATGTATTTGGGAGTTGAAATATAGTTGATTTTTGGATCATACAGTCACTCTTTGCTTTGAAAACAGCTCAGGTGGATTGAAAATGAATTTCGATCTGCATTTTCAATCCCATGTTGTACCCGCCAATTTCGTTGTCTATCACTGAATGTTTTGATTGTAACAGATAGAAATGACGTAAGCTGTATATTTCCAATTTTGCCAGTTAATGTTCCGCGGTCTTATCAAAACGTCATCTTGCTGAGAGACGCCGCCTGTGTACTGTGTAGAATACATTTTGATATTAAAATATTATTTAACATTTAGTATAATGCACTCTAAAGAATATTTAACTGAAAATGAGAAA